ATATGTTTATGAAGCACTGGTGTATGCTAAGCAGTATTTAAATTGCTGTTCACATACCTCGCATACTATGATACAAGGAGTACTGGGGACTTAAATATTCCTTTTGTCAGATTAACAAAAAGTCAGAAAAGTTTAAAAATTACAGCACCCAAACACTACAATAAATTACACCACTGCAGATCAGGTCCTTAAATTTAAATGCATTTAAACTTTAAACAGACAATAAGAAGTTTCGTTGCTGAAAATGTTTTTTATTCATATGTACACTGTACCTTTTTACGCCCACATTTAAATTTTTACATAATTATTATATATAGATATTTCTCATCTGCAATGTGGATCTCATAGTAGTCGTACTATTATGCGAATTTGATTATCTATGTATACTATAAAATTTTGTTACAGATGTGTGTGTGTAAGTACTGTACGTACATTAACACCAAGAAAGTATTGTATTGCATTGCTTGGCCGTGAGCAATTTTGGAATAAATTTCACACACACGCGAGCCATTTTCAAAATCTTATTCAAAATTTCCCAAACAATAGTTTTCGGTATTCCGAGTTCAATTTCTAGATCACGAAAAGTCAATCGACGATCACCTTCAATCGCACACGCTCGTTGTTTTCCGGTGTTGACAACAAGGTCGGCCAGGACAAGAGTCACTGTCAATAGATGTGCGGCCATTTTTAAACCGCCTAAACCACTCCTTTATATGTGTTTTGTCCATACTTTCGTCCCCAAAGGCCTCCATCATTTCAATTGTCTTCCGTATAACGCTTGCCGAGATTGAAGCAAAACTTGATGCATTTTCGTTGATATGTCCTCTGTCGTTTTCAACAGTAAAAAATCCGACAAATGGGACAAACAAGTTGAACGTAAACACACGCTGCGCACGACCCAAGGCGTTCGGCCGGAAACTACGGCATTCAGGGAATTCGTGGGAGACTACTGGTTACGCTCATACCCTACAGATCAGGGGGGTGAAACGCCTATGGGCAAATGGGAAACAATGCAGTGTTGCTGGTGCACAATATGACAACCATGTCGCACCCTCAAAAAATGACGGCTTATTTCAGATTTAAATTTCCGGCGGGTGTATCCCCAAAAAGAGAGTTTTACAGTACGAAGAAAAAACGATTTACTCGAGATTACTTTGTCATTTGAAGCTGTTAGATGTTTTTATTATCACATTTGAGATTAGCTTTATCTGTTTTAGACAAAATATCGACAAGTAGAGACCACTCCATCCGTGTAAGTGGCTTAAGATGTATTAGCATTTGATCATTATGTTTGATACGACCAGTTTGTCTTCCACAGTGGGTTATGTCTTTTTTATTCTATACAAAAATTAGGAAACTAATTGGGATACAGCATTGGGTGAATATAATTTTATTTGAAACAGCATTTTAACGTTATATAATCGTTTATTATTTGCTAACGACAAAGGAAAACATAAAAATATGAGATCATACAACTTCAATTGTTATCTTATAATAAAAAATAAACACAAATCCAGACTGGCGACTTCTTACAGTAGACACAAGTTCGGTAACAAGCAACAGAGTGGGAGAATCCTGGATGAGTCAATTTTGTTTCTTGTTTTTGGTCTTATCCGTATCATTACTGCACTTCTTTGTTTTTCTGAAATAAATAGATTTTATAAAAAATGACCAAATTTAATACCTGTTACTATCTTTTGTGTTTTTCTGATTACCGCCATTTTCCAAATTAGGTTTCCCTGACTTTTGATCAATTATGTATACTTTATCTACTTTCCTCGATTTTGTAGAATTGTTAGATCACTTTAAAATATTTGTTTTGTTAGTGAGCCAATTAACAACTTTTTCCTACCTCTTAGCTACTATACCTTCAATTTTTAGTTTATCATTGTCCGCCGTCGACTATTCTAGTTGTTCTTCGACGTGGTTTGACTTCCTAGTTTATTCTCTCTTCCGTACTTCCTTCATATTGGAGTGCATCGTAAAAGTCTATATCTTCAGACATTACTTTTTGAATCGTTGCAAATGATCCCATTTCTTTTTTGTTATCTTAAGCCTAGTCTCGTAGAGCTGTTTGGGCTTATAGGCTATATCAATTTGCTTTTGGCGTTGAGGTAAGACTTTATAAGGATCGTTGATTTCCGATTTGTACTAGATTTGGCCAGTGCTATCATATCTTATGCATCTCAGATCGTTCACCTTTTCTTATTTTCTGGACCTATAGAACTGTACCTTTTATAGTTGTACTTGAAATTCACAAAATACGAATGGTTTGGAGAGTAATGCTGTAGCTCATTTGGTTGATGTTACTTTAGAGTATGCGCCAAGTGAATCTATCTGAATTGTTCTCATGTCGCAGTACCGAACCGCTCCCTCGGAGCTAACTCTCGGACGTTTTTAATGATGAAGCGTAAGCCAGCGAACTCTTTGGAATAGTTCGGTAACGTTCGATCCTGCGACCCAAACACAACCCTTGAGTATGTTTTAGAGTATCATTTCAATAAACTGATAATCACTGACAATGAATACAACCTGCTGAAGCGTATTCAAGATAGCGCTAAAGTCCAGCAGCTCAGTGTAATAAACGCAGCCTATGTGTCAGTGGAAGACAGAGTGAAGCCATGAGTACCCTTTATGGTACTATGGGTGACAAAAATCCGACTTAAGTGTTAAAGAACATAGACATAAACATCTAGACGACCCATTAGCCTTGGGATTATTGTACATTAATTCTAATTTATCGTATACCAACAGAACTGTTACAAGATCCAATAGGCTGTAACTAATCTTTACTTTTTAATCAAACTTCCTAGCAATAAACAAATGACGATTTCGAATCGAAGTATATATTTATGATAAGATTTCTTAGACACTTACTCTGGCGTAACGCTTTATTGTAAAAAACATAGATAATAGCATTATTTGGCCAAATAAAGAGAGCACTGACTATCAACCAACACAAATCAGCTTCAGTGAGCAAGTGGATGCTGAGGGATACAGATTATTGGAACCGAAAATAACAGCTGACATACATATTAGAATATGGGCAAAAATGGTGTTTTGGTTGGCTACGACAAATTGTCACATGATAGAAATACCCTTTTTCATTTGACATCCATCAAGATCTCGATTTCGACATTTTGTGGGATACGTCGTATCAGAACTAAGCCATCGATATAAGGTATAGCAATCTCAGATTTACATGTAGAGCTGGCAACGTTGCGGGTAATTATCTGGCAACCCTGTCGCACCATCAAAAAATGGCCGCTGACAACCACGCAAGTCACCGTGTTACCATTTAATAACATGGAATTAAACCTTCTTCAGTGTATATGTTTTGTGCAGCAGATACCGCTCGAGCGCTCTGGCGCGAAGGCATGAACGGAGATCGGATACTTTTCGCACACAACTCGTACAATATATGTCTCTCCTATGGAGATGCTTTTCAGCGTCGCTTGAAGTAGTTAATCAAGCGGTCAAAGATAAACCAGGTTAAATTTCAATATAATATCTCTAAAACTAGCAAAAAATGTACGATTTGTGCAATACCCATATTAAATCACGAAATTCTTTATAAATCACCTGATTTAGCTACATAGGTAACCCTGTTTTTTCATTTGATCCTCGAATCAAAACTGGCCAATCAAAGAAGGCTTTAAACCCTGCTCGGATCATGGATCAAATTTGATACAGTATCTATAATGATATGACAGCAATTACTTTTCATTATATTGAAAACAACAGTGTTACTACTTATTTGAGAGAGATTATTTTCGGAAAAAAGGATATCACACATATAGTGTATTGTTGCAATGCTTTCATTCGTTGTCCGAACCGAAAAACCACGAAACAGGTTGGTTGGTTGGTGCAGCTTATGAGTCTCATATATTCTGTATCATATATAGTGATGGGCACATTGTATACATCATGTATAATACACCATTGTATACGCATATACAATGGTGAATATGTATATACGTCTCGATATTCACGTTTACAATGTATACAATAGCAAATTCCATGTGTACAAGGAAGAGTTACAGCGGGAGAAGCGGGTACCACTTGTGTACACGTTGCCTGGCAGAACAGTGTTGAAGGCCACAGAACACTACTGTAACTTGCTGCAATGCTTTTTTTCCTATGCCCAAATACACATTTCTGCCGAATCTGTTTAGGATCAATTCTGGATCGATGCTAATGGTTCTCCGATTTTGGAAGGAACTGAAAGTTCAGGATGGCTACAAATTCTGTAACATTGCATTATTGGTTTGACTGCGAAAGCAGTTTATAAATAATGAGAAAGGCTATAAATATATAATATTTATTTATATACAGTTTTAAATAAATTAGGAACATTTCTTGAGTAAAATAAAAAAAAATACTTGTGCGATTTGAATCAAGATATAGCAGAATTGGTCAACTTTCTTTGCAGACATTACACTCTACGGAATATGTCTTTACATTTTTAAACAAAACAAACCCTAGTTCGTCGATTTCTTTGCGAATAAACCTAACCTCACTTATGCTATATACGACTTGGATTAGAAGGGCCTCTCATCTCAGAATCAGATCAACAAATTCCTTATAAATCACCAGCTTTAGCTACAAATGGCTGTTTCATCATTTGACCCCAAAAGCGCATTAGGCCACTTTGTAAATAATAGAAGGAACCAAATTTAAAACAAGTACCTGAGAAATTTGAAAAAAGAAAATTCAGTTGTTACTTAGGTGAAGATTCCAGTATAAACATCTTTTTCTCATTCTAGAAGCTCGCTCAAGCTATTCCGTGATTTACAAAGCGTTTCTTGATATGAGTTTAAGACATATTTTTGAGGAATTCGAATGTATTCATTAGATCCATTACTTCTAAAACGCCAATTTTTATCCGAGGGTCAAGTAACTCACGGGTTCATAGTAAAAATGAATCCTACATTTTTTAATGTTAAGCTTATGCATGTCTATTTTATTTCAGGTGCAGCTACAAATGTCTGCGGCCATCCATGTATAGCCATCTTATAGAGCAACATTCATCTATGGTGCTGGAGATCAACACTGTGCACAAGAGGAATGTTATTGACAAACGGGAAGGGGCTCATGTGTTTTACGTAGGTGGAGAATTGTTCAGATTTAACATCAAAGGATCCGAACAGTCGCCCTCGTATAAGTTTTCGATGTCTCACTTAGGGATGGTTGAAGGGGAGCCGAAGTATTGCTATAACTTACAAATTTTAGATCAGTCGGAGTTGGGGCTCCAATTCAGCATTACGCAACCGTGTCAATGTTTGTCAAATAGGGGTAACTCCAATGCCTTGAGCATTCCGTATGAAATGTTGAGGCCTTTTGTTGGTGAGACGTCTTACTTCAACTATAAAATAAATATTGTGAAAATACAAGTCACCAATTGATTAAGTCACTTACATACATACTTTGTAGGGTTATGCTGAAGCAAATAGGAATATTATTCAGACCAGTTTATTTAAAATAGGCGTATTCGACTGACTACAAGATTTATATTCTTTTTATTGCCAGCAAGCATTGTTAGAAGTTCAAGGTGAACGTAATATTATCTGTAATAGGTCACATGGACATTCGAGATTTGCATGTAATACGTCAGAATTTCTTGTTTTATGGTCTAAGAACGCGGTTGAATGCAAACTGTTAACTAAATTGGGTAAGCGTTGTATGAAATATTGAGGCTTTAAGGTACGGTCATCTGAGACTATGTGAACTTACATCAGTAGTTTCATCATAACATTTATTTTTTGAAATATGAGCAACAAATTTGAGAATATTATGAAGATGCGGCTAGTACAAAGGACCATTTTTTGGATTACAAAATTTTTCTATATGAAATTTATCTTTTCAAGAATAGTTTAGGTACTTTCTTCACATATTTTTATGCAAAAACGTGTTTTCGGAAAATTTAAAAAGTGTTGGCCTGCATTAGCGCCTCCCATTAGATTGTATTGGCCAATTTATTATTCATACAAAATCTACACTGCAAATTTAGCTCCATGAAATATGTCATATTTTTAATAAAAACCATTTTTTGATGAAATGCAATGCGTGTGGCTTCATTATACCTTAGCCGCCATATGCCCAATTTTTTTAATTCAAATTTAAGAAATAAATGAGTTATGGAACTGTTATGTTTTCATGGGAATAGATAGGGGCATCCTAATGCCTCAATGTTTTGTTATACACGATGTCCCATTTTAATCTCCCTAGCTAAATATTTCGAAAATGGTCTTTACCCTTGTCTTCAAGGTCAAACCAAGTCGTAATTTCTAAACGAACCTTTCATTTTTATATTGGAAATGGAAAAGTAGAAAATTTTACGTCCGAATGAGACTTTGACTTCAAAGTCAGACTTAAAAATTTTTGATGTCAAGATCACATTCGGTTTTAAAGTTTCCCGCTTTTTCGATTTCAAGTATAAAAATGAGAGCTTTCCTTCGGAGATTTTGACTTGATCTTAAATGCCAAGGTCGCAAAAAAATGTAAACTTTGTCCTCTTGACCGGTCAACAGCGAGCGTACGAAAGTGGATAGGTGTTCCTGAAACTTTCGTTTACATTGCTGATAGTACTAACTAAATGTCATGTCAACAGGGAGCATACGAAAAGCTAACTGTTAAATGGTTATGAATCCTAAGATACTTGTGTTTATATTGCTGATAGTATTAACCTCCAAATGCCATTTTTATTTTTTTGACTTTCTCTCCTAAATCGGTCAATTGCTCAACTGTGCGACGCCTTCTGACTCGTGCCCGTTTATTATGCTTTTATATATTTTTCGTATATTATGATTCTGTTTCAATACCCAAAAATGATTGAAGAACGGTTGGTAGTAAACTTTTCCAAGGGTTTCTTAAATATGGTACACAAAACTGGCCCGGCAATATTGGCATTGCTCCAAACGCTTGAGAATTTTATTTCGCAATACGACAATGTCCGTCTTGATATTGCTTAATGTACAATGGAATACATGGCTTGGGATAAGATACTTCAAGATAAGCGAGCACCAACCGAGACGCTAGAAGAACTGTGTAGCTTTAGTATTAAGAATATTATCTCATTATTCGAAGACGGAAATTCTTATGTCTTCATGCACTTTCAGCAAGATGCTAACTTAGTTTTGAATTTCCTTGCTCGCTGCCATAATACATAAATCACCTCTCAAAAGCAAAGCTAACGACTGGACGAATGTATCAGTCATAAGGGTAACTCATTATTAGGGAAATACAATGATAGTGTTTTCACTCCAAAATTTAACCACGACTTATTCTTGCTTTTGTCTACAAACAAAATTTTAAAATAAAATTATTCTTACTGGGTGTTCTATTCTTTTGTCACTGATAATTTACTGAGGGGTGATTTTGAAAAGCGGGGGATTCATAGTCGAGTTACAGGTCGAGTTTTATCAGTGGAGTAGCTACCTTGTGTGGCACCTGGTGCGGATGTTGATGGTGTCACCTCGCCGAAAAATAATAATAACAATCTGATAAACGTCAGGTATTGTAATTTTTAAGATATGTATAAACATTAAGAAATTTTCTTTGTAGCTTGAAGAGCTGCGCATTTTCGTTATGGTCTAAGGCGATTCGCAATATATAACAAGATCCTTTTAAATAACAAAGCTAAGTTAGTTGGAGTTTATAAAATATATTTTGCCGCTCTTTGTCAAAATACCCACTTCTCTTTTAAAGTAACAACTCGCTACGCAATATGTACTGACGAAAGAAATGAGAACTGATTCAGTTGATGCGACATAATAACATGATTTATTTTTTATTTCAATTTATTTAGCGGTTGTAACCCCAAAAATATGACACCCGGCGTGGATCGTTACTTTCCCCTTTGATACGCCACTAAGATTTTGCTAACAAGAGGGTAGCACAAAACTGGTACTGCTGTTTGTAGTATATGCGATGATTCAGCTGTGTATTACTCGTGGCAACCCGGTGTAAACTAAAAACCTCATTAGATACTATGCTGAAGTTCAAAATTAAACAATGACTTTAATCTAAGGTGGAGCTTATCCCCTAAATTTCTGTTACACCGCTATTATTTATAACTTTAACATTCCGTTAAAGAATACTACACAACTATGGTTTTCCACGGGAGAAAACTTGTTTTGAAGATGCTTTAAATAACAATGCTGATATGCGGGAGTTAATGGTAAGAAAAATAATGTAAAAATGTTTCCTAATGGTAAGCGGTAAGAAAATGGAAAATTAAGGAATCCTTTTTATAACATTTTTCGTACCATCCTTATACTCGTAATAGACAGTGTAAACATGTTCAACTAAGAGGATCAGTCTAATATTTTAAGAGATACACTGATGACTCGCCCTGTTTAAAGATATGTTTTTGAAAATGTCAATGAAAATGGTATCTAACCCAGTTTCTTTTTTACTGATTAAGTTTGCGCTTGTACAATTTTTGTGTATATTCCTTATGCTGTACATGTATACAATTTTAAGACTATACCTGACATATATATATATATATATATATGAAAAATTAAAGCTTCCGCCTTTTGTTGGGTACTTCGACAAAATTTAAGCAAAGAGGACTCTTTATACTTTTTTTTAATTCTTTCTAGCTTTCAATGGACTTTGCCATCATCATCAGGAGAGTAGTATGTGAGGATGTTGCTAATTGTTGTTTACGTATAGGATGAGGGAAACGTCCAGTAACATGGTGAGAGCTGGATAGGTTGTACAATGGTCAAAATTATATAAAATATGACAAGAACAAGTTAAAAACAGATTAAAAATTATTTAAAAAACATTAGAGCATTACATCGTGAAGCCACTTGATGATTGCACCAAATCATCAAGTGGCTTCACGATGTAATGCTCTAATGTTTTTTAAATAATTTTTAATCTGTTTTTAACTTGTTCTTGTCATATTTTATATAATTTTGACCATTGTACAACCTATCCAGCTCTCACCATGTTACTGGACGTTTCCCTCATCCTATACGTAAACAACAATTAGCAACATCCTCACATACTACTCTCCTGATGATGATGGCAAAGTCCATTGAAAGCTAGAGAGAATTAAAAAAAAGTATAAAGAGTCCTCTTTGCTTAAATTTTGTCGAAGTACCCAACAAAAGGCGGAAGCTTTAATTTTTCACCTAACTGGTCTAGACGACAATGACCACGTCTCAAGTTATATATATATATATATTATAATGAATAAACACAATCTGAACACTATGTATCTCGGTAACAGGACGTTTTAGGGCATATAGTAAATTTTCATTTTATTTTTCAAAATGCTGCCTACCCTAGGAATATTGTAATTGTTTTTTTTTTAAACATCCTGTATATTATAGAAACTAGATTTTATTTAATCTTGGATTTGAAAGAATCCACTTTCATTAATAATGTTGACTTTTTTATAAATATTTACTGCTCATCCCATATGTTTCTTTTAAACTCTCAATACCAGTATTCCATGATTAAAATCTCCTCTATATGGGGCACGTGATGTCTTGAGTCAAAAAACAATTTGCTTTTCAAAATAGTTTCTATTACATTGAATATACTACACCATACGCAAGAAGCAATCGATAAACCAGCGCCTCCATAGCTCCTTCTCAGTAGAATCACGCATGACTCTCAAGCTGCAATCAGTTAATTCGGATGTAAACCTGGGCCTTTTTAGCAGTGATTTGACAAATGGAAAAAGCAAAACTGCGTTACACCAAGTTGGGGTTATAAGGTGTATAGTTCAACACTTGGATTCCAAACTTCATCAGAAAACTGTTGAATTAACTGGACGCGTTGACAATGGTGCAGATAGTTGTGCAAACAATCCTCTGTAACATTTAGCTGTGATTGTCTTCTGTTTATCAAGCACAATATTTGCCTACCATTCCTTTTCCAACCAACCGTGACTTGAATCGGCTGATCTTTATTTTTGAAGACCCAGACTCGACCTTGTGCTTTGCCAGGAACATCCAGAAAATATAGGCAATTTTACACAATTATACCCGTTTTACATTGACACTAAAACCACAGATTTCTTCATGAATTGAGTTTATGACCAAATTTCAAAAGTATAAAACAGGAATTTGACGTAAAATAATTCCATGAAGTACTTTGTGGATTGTTTCACGCAATTAGAACTTGTTCTAATTTTAAAGTTGGACGTCGAATTCCATGGTGCCAATCTTGTATTCCTTTCCATTATATTGAACAACTCTTCAATTCAAGTATCAAACTTATAAGATTCGCCTCGAAAATTAAAACCACAATACAAATAAAAACTTGAAATGTTTGCTGTGGCATATATGAGTCCAAGAAGAAGGACGAAATCAAAATGAGGTACATCCAAAAAGTCTTATTTAAACTCATGCAAAGGGAATGGTGCACTTTACATACATGCTTA